CCCCCCCCGGATGGCATCCTGACACATCCATTCCCCCAATACCTTCTTCACTCTGAGTGTGTTTATGTTCGAGGGAAGGAACAGTCGCTTGTGTTCCAATATCACAGTGATAAGAACTGAAATTCGTGGCTTTTATTATGATGTTTGCTTGTGTCTTGCATACGGTATACAAACTTTTGTATTGAAAAAAATGCAAAAATTCTACCCCACTCTGCCTCTCACCCAGCCTTGCACCATAGGGTTAGGGTTACACATTTATCTGCTGCCCAAAATGCAATTGTTTGTCTCAAAATTCTGTGCTTAAGGAGGAAGAAGGTTTTTCATAAAACCTTTCTAATACCTCAGATGATGATCCTTCAGAGTTGCCTGTCTGTGATTTACCTTTATGGTGGTGTCAGTGCTATGACAATACAAGTATAGAGAAGAATGTTTTCCATGGTTGCATGAATGGTGGGACAAACTGCAGAAATAACAGTTCTCCTGCTATACAGCTGACAGCATGTTTGTATCCTTTACTTACTGCTTCAGTTTTAAATGCATCATCATCCTCTGATCGTCACCTGTCTCACTTTGCAACCAGAAATAAAATTTGATGGTGGAAGAACCTAACTAAGGAAGAAACTAATGCTGATTTAGCCTTTTCAGAGAAAATCTGCCTGTAGGTAATTCAATCTGAGCACTGTTGATTTGCTGGTGTATTCCTGCGTGCCTAGCATGCTGAGCTTGCCCATAGAGCATTTTAGTATCTCTGTAACTGAGTTATCCTTATCAAAACCTACACATCCACTTTGCATTGTGGCCATAAAACTAATCTGTAGACTACTGATTCAGACTTCTCTCTGATAAGTTTCTTCACAATAGTCCTGACACTAGATTTGAAACAATAGTCACTGAAAAGAACTGTGAGCTCCCACAAAGAATAAATCACATTCTTCTAGAATCCTTTTCCAGTCTGGAAAGTAAGTAGCTAGCAGGGTTTTATGCTAACTTTTTGTGAACAGTTGCAATATATTTAACAGCATCAGAGGCTATCCTGTTACAAGCACAGTTTTGATCAGTTATTTTCAAAGCACCTTTCACTGAAGACTGAGGGAGGGATGTTTGTTTTTCTGAGTTGTCCTCAATTTGCCTTTTGTGCGCTGTAGTAAGGACTTTAAAGTGGGGTCTGGCTAAGTCCTGTCCTGCCTCTTTGCCTGAGGAACACTGATATTCCCCAAGCCAAGTCATACTAATGTCAGGCTGAACTAACAAAGTAACAGTATATAGGTAGCTTGAATTTGAGATGGTATCCTTTTCTTTGTAAAAAATGCAAGTCCTTGGCCAAGATGCTGATAAACATGTTAAAGGAACATTCTTGAAACCTGTTGTTTCCTTAAAGTCAAACTTTCTTTTGACCAGCTGTGAAATGGAGTAGCCTGCGTGCAACTGCCATGTTGACCGGCGTGACAAAAGAGTGGCTGTTTGTAGGACAGGATTCGTATGTTAATCCAGAAGCCAACCTTGTCTTTGAACAGGAAATACAAATGTCTTTTTCAGCTGGTGGTTTTTGGATTGAGCAATCAAATGGTGGTTGCCTTCAAAGAAGAGAACACTGTTGCATTCAAACATCTCTTCTTGAAAGGATACATGGACAGAATGGATGATACCTATGCTGTGTACACACAAACAGATGTCTATGACCAGATATTCTTTGCAATAAACCAGGTAAGGATTGTCGCTGCAATGTATACAATACCCAAGTAAAGAACATGTATACCTTTTCTTCTTCCGCTTTCCCTGACGGTGTCTGAAATTGAACTTCTGTGCCAGTTGCTTAAGACTAGAGTGTAGACTCATTTAGGTTTTCTGTCATTGCCAAAGCATTGTACTTGTGGTGACATCCTTAAAGCTAATCAGTATACTAATTCTGTGCTAAATGCAGTCCTTGGACTTAAGCCAGAGTTCTTTGCAAGTAATGAATTAGGCTTTCTAGTAAGGACTGTAAAGAGAAAAAATAATAAGCAAAAAGGTATTTAGATCTAAATCCTGCACTTCCTGTTTTTGTCAACTACCTTAAAGTATTTGAGGACTCAGCTGTAGTGTGGTGTAGGTTTCCTAGTTCTTTAGGTGATCTTTTAAATAAAAAGATGGGTTATGGCACAGATCCAAACACTTCTGGGTTTGGGTTTGTTTTTTTTTTCAGGACTTAGCACCAAGAAAGATAAGGAGGCGTTGTTGCTAGGGCTTGCTGGAGTTTTGGTGCAATCTAAGTTGGTTTATCTGTCTGTTCTGAACTTTAGTACTTACAGCTGCCCAACATCTCTGTTGGAAACCATGCTTATGAGAAGAGAGGAGCAGAAGAGACAGCTCTGGCTGTGTGTCAGCAGTTCTACAAGCAAGGAACCATCTGTCCTGGAAATGACACCTTTGATATAGACCCAGAGATTGTGACTGGTGATGAACCTAATCTATTGTATCAGTTCTTAGGGTGGAGGGACCCTATATTTATGATAAATTCTTTAAAAAAACCCACATGATCCTATCACATGATCTGTATTTAACTTGCTACCAGCAAAAACTGGTAAGAAAACTGCTGTGTAATTAACCTCTAGCCCTCACCTCCAAGGTAACAGTCTTTTATGTCTACTACCACAAAACAAGTGATGAGCTGTTAGCACTGATGGCCATCTAATACAAGTATTTAGGGTTAATTTCAGGAGCCTTCCCTGTGGATTCATAATGAATAAGTTGGCTGGTGTTCAGGGAAGCCAATGGATTTGTCAACTAGCTTCCCAAATGAGTTCTCACTGAAGTGTGCTATCTTGTCTGGTGTAGTCAACAGCTCTTTACAGCCTCGGGACTGGGAAAGGCAGATTACAGTTAAAGAGCATGATAACCCATGAGATATTGTTGTGAGTACTTATCCATTGCAGACTGCTTGTACATTGAGCCAATGACGCCGTTAGACCACACAACAGTGGGAAAGCACAATTTGAATTTCACTCTGGATTTCCACAGGTGAGAAGGAATCAGCACCTCCTGTATTTGGGTATTTGTGCGTTTTCCTTGTGAAAAGCTAATACGAAGCTCTATTGCAGACTGGTGACAGTGCAGCTCATGTTCAATCTGAAGGCAATCAACCTCCAGACCGTTCGTCACCATGAACTCCCTGACTGTTATGATTTCACTCTGAGGGTACGTGGAAGCCTGCTACCGGTCTTTCTGTTCAAAACGAAAAATTGTTCTTGCTGATTTACCATACAAAGTCAGTGCCGATGTTTTCTGAAGAGTGTTGGGCACCACTGACTGGTCCCCAGTGGTGTCTGGATTACTCTATCATGGCTTAGTGTACCCTGTAAATAACCACCAGTTGTGGCTGTGCGAGGTTAAGCTTTGAGTGCTCGTGAAGTGGCCCTGAAGCACTTGCTTGGCTTACAGCCTTTTGTGCTCTAATCCATCTGAAGCATAATGAAAGCATAAACCTCTTCTCTTTAGAGAGATGCTTCTAGGAAAGCTTGTTTTCAGATCATAGAGGAAAGAGGCTGTAGTTCAAAAGAATTTCACCTAGTATCTAGCTGATCAAGAAATTTGTGGCAAATATATGTTTCACCAGATTTGTCTTTCACTTTGACAGCATTTATTTGTATAAACTGGAATTACCTTAAGCTTAAACAAGTTTCATAACTTCTCCCCTAGGAGGATTATTCTGACTCATTGTGCAAGCTTAGAAATACAGTGTGCTACATACGTAATGGTTTAACACTTTATTTTTTTTGTTAATACAGATAGTGTTTGATAATAAAGCACATAGTGGAAGAATTAAAATAAGTCTAGACAACGACATAGCAATCAGGGAATGTAGAGACTGGCATGTTTCTGGATCAAGTAAGTGACATAAATATGTTCAAATTTTCATGCTGAACTTTTGCTACGCTAGCACAATGTTCATTGACCTTTTTCTCTATTAAAAGATGGAAGCACTATTGACATACGTTCTTTAGCAGGTGTGCTCTAAATTCTGATTTTTCTAAGGAACTGTTCTTCAACCTCTGATCTGAAATCCTGAGAACCCAGCCACACCATTACTTTCCTTAGCAGTTCTCAAACCTTGCACCATTGATACTGTCAAACCAAAAATTTTCCACACCTCACTGTGCATCCTTCTAGCTTTGGCTACTGAACTTAACGCTGCTCATTGCTTAAAGTAGGGCTGTGAACCATTCTTCTAGCACCAGGCAACAGAGGGACACATGATAGTGGTGGAAAGTTGAAACTGATTCACTCCTTATTTCCGGACTTAGCACCAGGAAAGATAAGGAAGCGCTGTTGCTAGGGCTTGCTGGAGTGGAATGGCTAGAACGCTTCTTACTGCTGCATAAATGTTGTTTGGCCTGTATTTGGGTGTAACTGAGATGCACAGTATGGTTAAATTATCTTAAATAGTTAGTCACAAGAGCCCCCTTTGTTGGCAGCCATTGGGTCTGGTCAAAACATTGTCTGAGATCTTTTTTTGATTAGCGAAAATAATCTCTTTGAAAGTCAGAAACTTTCCAGGACTTTAAATTCCACTTATTTTTTAATTTTTTGCTGAAGAAAGCAATAGGATGAATCAGGTCCATTTTTCTACTTTGCCACTTTTCCCTTTGCTATGCCTATGTTAGGAAATGAAGAGCTGGTAGTGAAAAAAGGGAAGTTTTTTATTTTAAAGATCCATATTGGAATTAATTTTGGGGAATTTAATGAAATGCATACAGAGTACAAAATGCAGCGCTTATGCAAACGCATGGTCCACTAACACTCTTTACCAACTACCTTTGCTAGCTGTCATGTTATAAATGCACACCAGATGGCACGCCACCTCTAACAGATTGCTAGGGCAGCAGTAGGAGGTTTTGATACCAGGCTTCTACAATAATCCACATTTGATATCTATGTAGATTGCCTCTGTAACAGTTTTCAAAATCATGTCCTGGACTACCCTGTATTATTTTCTGAAAGCCCAGGAAAAATATGGAGGTAATGATTGCAATTGGACAATAACAAGTTGTTGCTGTTCTGGACTATGCTGCAAAACCAATGGAAATGGCAACAGTACTTGTGGTAGTGACTTTGGTATAAGCAAGAAGTAGGTGGGCTTTTTCTGAGTAGTGCAGTTTGTGAAGTCAACTAGAACTTCAGTATCCCATTTTGGAGAATTGCTGCATCTTCTTGCAAATTTAGTATTGATTTGTTTCAATTTTTTTCTCAATCACTCTTCTAGCATTAAAAATCTAATGCTTATACTGTCTCATCTAGTTTCAGCTGTACGATAGGTATAAAACCCAAAAAGAAGTCTAGTGGTAGATTTGGTGCAAAATTTGACCTTAGTTGATCAAGAATGTGAATTTTAGTAACATAAGAGAATGAGAATTCCTGTCTAGCTCAATGTTGGTCTTGGCTAGCTAAGCAGCAGTGCAAATTATCTGCACTCCTCTAGGACAGAAAACTATCTGATAGTCAAATACTGGTCTGGAAGAGAAGACATACACTGTAAAGTTCCTGAGATTTTTTTGGGTGTGTTGTGGGGTGGTTTGTTTTTTTGTTTTGTTTTGTTTTTTTTTTTATTGACAAGTTCTCTCACTCCAAAGGCCATTCCAGTGCTTGTAAAATGGAACACTCCCACCTCTAATTCTGCAGGGCTGTAAGAACATTCTCACTCTGGTATATTTTTGATGTGGTATCAACCTTCCTAAGGTAGCTGAAGTGGTGTTTGTAGTGCAGATGCACTTGTGTCTCATGAAAATATGTCAGATCAACTTTTGTGGGAAAAATACTAAGATTTTTCTTAATTCAGTTGTATAAACATAGTTAACATCAAAACTTTATTCTTATTTCAATACTCAAGATGGTCAACAAGATGAAATGCATCTGACTATAAACATGTACATTTTTGTTCTTGCAGTACAGAAGAACACTCATTACATGATGATCTTTGATGCTTTTGTTATATTGACTTGTCTGGCCTCATTGATCCTTTGCACACGATCAGTGGTTAAAGGAATTCGGCTCCAAAGGGTGGGTATAACTCTTTCCTTGGAAACTTGTCATGCCTTGTGTAAGTCTGATTAACTTTTTTCTTTCCTCCTCTCCCTTAGGAATTTGTAAGCTTTTTCCTATATTATTATAAGAAAGAAGTATCTTTCAGTGATCAAATGGAATTTGTCAATGGATGGTACATCCTGATTGTGGTTAGCGATGTCTTAACTATTGTTGGATCAACTCTAAAGATGGAGATACAAGCCAAGGTAAGCTTTTTACACTACCAGGTGGAAGCAAAACTGATTGTTTCTGTCCCAGCTAGGTTTAAATCTCTTGGAGGACTTCAGGGTGGCTATACTTGATTCTGAGTGGTCTGAAAATTTAAACTCTATCTTCTTCTCTGGAGTTATAACTGAGATGTGTTGTTTCCAGTTGCAAGATTTAAAAACTCCAAATGTCACTAGATATTACAGTTCTAATTATCTTTGCTCCTTCGTGACTCCAAGGAATAAAATGAACTTGATCTCTGAAAGTTTAAGACTGTTGACTTCTTCTTTTCCCCATTTAGGACCACTTATATTTGCTTATTTGATGGATTTTTTTAAAAATTAGCATTTAGCTTTCTGTTCCCCATTTAACAAGTGTTTAACTAACACAGAGACTGTCTCCTTAAATATCACTTTGATGCTTTCCCAGCATCTGGTTTACAGTATGTACATAACAGTCAGCCACAGCCAGGTTCTAGCCTTCTATTTCTAAAATAAACTTGATATAGAAAAAAAAAATCTTTTAAAAATATATTATGTGCAGCCAGAATTAGGGAAGAAAAAATATTACAATATGCTATCATGAAGCACTGTAATATTCAGATAATGTTGTTGTTCACCAAATCTGTAGCAGACTTTGATGTGTGACATTGCAACATAAGAGACTTTGGACAGTAGTGATGAAAGAATGGGTCTGAAATCCATCTGGTGACAGCTTGACTATCATAAACACCCTGTACAAATTGCCCTATCTTACCTTAGGAGCTATAAACTCAGTTCTTAGGAATAGAAAGAAGCTATGAGGAAGTTGGCTAAGATAAGAGAGAACTCCATCCTGCATTAGGAGAAGCAAAGACTAGAACAAGATTGGAGTAAGATCTTGCATTCAGAATTCCGGTATCTTATATATATAAATACATCTATTTATATATATTTATTTTTCAAGGGAGCATTTTACTAAAACTCTTCTCTACAGGTACATTTCACTTCATTTTGCAAGCCTTGTGGACCACAATAACAAGATCTTGTTCCATGTTACTGTGTGAAAGTTAGTGGCTGAATAACAATTTGGGTTTTGTCAAGCTGTAAGTGAATTATGCTAATATAAAAGGTTAGCCAACTCTTAGAGGAATACAAACAGGAAATAGTGAAAACTGCTTATTCAAGTAAGCTGTCATGATCCATTTCAGAGTAGAGCTGCAGTTCAAGGAACAGGGTATATGCTAACTTGGATGAAAACAGGCCAGTATGTATAGGTGGAAAAAAACAGTGAAGTGCCAATAAAATATAAATGAAGTTCTGGTTAGAATTAATTAGAAGCTAATTAGTCTTCTCCTTGATAACTTCCTACACCTCACAGTTCCTGGCTACCTAGCAAGATCCTCCTTAGTATTTATCTGAGCTCTGCTGACAAGTCATGCTATTTTTTAAAAACCGCTTTGCCTATGTACTGGAAGAACCTTCTCTGCTCTCCGGTTCTAAAATCACATCTGCACTGTTCATGGGGATGCAGTGGAGAGATTCCCAAGCTGCTCTGGGGAATCTGTTGACACAGATTCCAGAAGCAGTTGCCGCAGGTCTGGAAGGAGCATAAAATCACTTGCAGTGCTGCTTTGCAGGTCTTAGTGAGGCAGGTACAGAGGGAGTGTCTCTGCACCTGCAGGGCAGCTGCGCTCTTGGCCTTGGAAATGAAGCTTGTCTTGCCAGAATCTGTTTTACAAACAGCCATATGTAAAGGCATGTGAAATGAGTTGCACTTGAAATTGCCCTTGCTCTTTTGTGGGACTTCTGCTCTCTAATGCGTATTGCCCTGAACTGATTTTTGATGGGAGAGATTATTGCCAAGGAAACCAATGTTTCTTAACAGATCTTTGCAGTAATGAGAGTTGCAATTGAGAAACTGCCAGTTGTTATAATACTTGATTTTTTTTTTTTCTTCTTTTTTAGAGTCTGACAAGTTATGATGTCTGTAGCATACTCCTAGGAACATCCACTCTGCTTGTGTGGCTTGGAGTCATTCGCTACCTAGGTTTCTTTCAGAAGTATAATGTAAGGATCTCCTGGGATCTTCGTGCTGTTGGTATTTATTCTGTTTGTTGCTATAAGAGGACTGGAAGAAATGCCTGGCTGAATTCTAACTGTTTGCATTGCTTTGTGCAGATTCTCATCCTAACACTGCGAGCAGCATTACCCAATGTAATGAGGTTCTGCTGTTGCGCTGCTATGATCTACCTGGGCTATTGTTTCTGTGGATGGATTGTACTGGGACCATACCATGTGAAGGTAACATACTTAACATGAAATAAAACAACTTGAACAACAGAATGGATTCCAAACAAACGAGAGATTACTACTGTTGTCTTCTAAGTTTCCATGCCAAGGCTTCCCTTAATATAAAAATAGAGCATCTTCAACATGATGCTGCTCTTTTTGAGGCGTCTGACTTCCATGACTCAATCAGACTTTCCTCGAGTTATGAAAGCTCTGAGTCAGAGGTGGAAGCTGCCATGACTCCCAATCACATGTTGGTATTTTGAGAAATAATTTTCATCGTGCAGAACACCAGTGTCAGACTAAAGCTTTGGAGACTTTATCCTTATCCCTTTTAAAAGTGAAACTGGCTTGTCTGAATTGAATGTGTGTGTACAGGAGGTGACAAACTTTGCTCATTCCTCAAATGTTTTACTGTTGCACCTTATCATGCCCTGAACGTACAAACAGATCCAAGGCAGCCAGTCATCAGCTGTGTATCTACTTCATGTTATGTACAGTCCTTGGATCCAAATACATCAGCGATGGATGTCTTTGTCTTCTTCCCTCCTCTCTAGTTTCGCTCTCTGAACATGGTTTCCGAATGCCTTTTTTCATTGATCAACGGAGATGACATGTTTGCCACCTTTGCAAAAATGCAGCAGAAAAGTTATTTGGTTTGGTTATTCAGTAGGATCTACCTTTACTCCTTCATCAGTCTGTTCACCTATATGGTGCTGAGTCTCTTCATTGCACTTATTACAGATACGTATGAAACTGTCAAGGTAAGCATGGACTCTTACTCTTCATTTGGAATAAAAATGCAAGATTGATGCTATCAAGACTCATCTCCCTCAATATTTTGACTTGCAGTGCATGCCAATTTAAAGAATAAATATAATGGCTACTTTTGAGGGTGCAGAGTCATGATGAGAGATTTTTAATCCCTCCCTACCTCGGTTTTCTTACAAGACTATCTGATTTCCTGCTTCAATGGAAGCTAAATATCTACTAAAAAGCAGTAATTTCATATTTGGTTCTGTGAATCTTCTAATTTCAGACTTCAGCAATGTCTGAAAAGTGATCTGGGGAGGATTTGGGTTATTATATGTTTTAGCCTTGTTAAAGGTTTAACTAAATATCAATTTTTAGCACTACCAGCAAGATGGCTTCCCAGAGACAGAACTTCAGAGATTTATATCACAGTGCAAAGACTTACCAAACTCTGGCAGGTACAGGTTAGAGGAGGAGAGTTCTGCATCTCTCTTCTGTTGTTGTAACGGTATGTACCTATATTAAAAATCATACATTAAGGTATATGCAAACGCAACATACCACAAAATGTCCCTGGTATAATGTTTATGAAGAGTACTTAAAGTTTTGGGGGTGGAGAGGGGAAAAAAAAAAAAAATCAACACAAAAATCCCAGACTATTTCTAATACTCTAGAATGGAGCACCTTAGTGAAACGTCTGCAGGCAACAAACTCCTTAGGAGAGGTGAGGGAACTTTTAAATTAAGAAGCACTTAACATATGAAAAATAGTACAGAAAATTAGGTAATATATACAGTAACTTGGGAACCCTGCATGTGTAATGTGCAAGCATTAACATTTCCTGTACTCACTGCAATAGGCAGAACTTACAGAACTCATTCAGTGTCTTGTTATCCACTTTTTAATGATACCTTGTGCAGTAAGGTGTCCTAACTTAAACGGTAGCAGGCCTGAAACGTAGGGAGAAAATCAGCTTGCCAAGGTTTTAAGACAGCATGCAGTTTAAGATACTATCACAGCACTTGGAAAAGCATTGCCTAACTTCCACTATGGAGAGGTTAATGCTTCAGTTTTGTTTCTTCAGGAATACTAATTGCAGGATACATGGTTTATATTTAACCTGTCTGGCAGTAATTCTTGAGTCTTGCTTGCTGAAGGGTCCCTTGGTGGGGGAGTCTTAAAATATTTGCAGCTTGATTAAAAAGATCAAAGGCATTTGCAGCTCCTTGGTACTGGGCTTTTCTAGTGTGCTATATTGTTATATGCCAATTAGAATATATTTATGACAGAAAGGAGGTGGGGACTATTTCAGAGCGGGGAGACAATAGAGCCTGCAGTGAGCCAGCCCAGAGCAGAGAGCTGCTGTTCTGACTGAGTGCCTTACTGGAGATGAAAGTGTGGGATGAAGCAGAGCAGGGCATCATGCTCCTGGGTAAAGGGCATGGACATGTTAATATTTCCTTTTGTGCACACACCTCTCAGTTTAACCAGGCAAGAAACCCAATGTAAGGTGGGAGAGGATGGGGATGTAATACTTTTCCCACTGACTGTGAGGTGGGGATCAGGACTCTAGAAGAGCATTCAAAGAGGAAAACTTGGTTACTCTCAAGCAACTTGTTCTTCAGGAGTATTGGGCAGCCAGCAGCACCCTGGACTCAGGCAGAGCTGTAGACATTTAAGTGCCTGATTTCAGAGCCTTGTTTCCTAAACAGATTACCTACTCTTTAATGATGTTATCCTGGTGCCACATGTCTTGATCCCCATGCATCTCTCATACCATGCATGTTAGTGTTACAAACTAGTTTTTTATCTGGAAATAGTGTGTTTCTTCAGAACCTAGACCAGGGGCTGACTTTGCAGTTGCCTGTAAATATTGGACATTGCTCCATTACCTCTGTACTGTGGCCTTCTGGTTTTACTGTGAAACACATGATCTGTAGGAATAAAAAAGTATCTCAAGCAGGATGTTGTGTTAACAGTTCTATGGCTTCTTCTCCTTAAATAGTCATATGGTCCTACAGGACACACAAGGCTTCTCTTAATTCTTTCACATGTTCAAAATGTTTTATGGTGGTTCATAGCAGTTTCTTATCAGTGTATGTCAAATCAGTCATGAAATAGTTCAGATGCATTTTTAAGGCTCCTCGTACAATGACACTATTATTTTGATGTATGCACCTGACAACTTTTTCCCCCTCTCCTGTATAGGTTGTAGTGAACATATTTAATGGATTGTGGGAGCGTATCATGGAGGCTTCAAAGCAGTACACGTTGCAAGAACTGGACAGTGGAGCTGGTGGAAAATCTTATACCTAAAGCCTGAATTTGCTTTTCTTGAAAAACAGTGTAAGCCTGTGGCAGAAGCTTATGATGAACTTAGAATCTTTCTGATTAGGCACTCTCACTGCTAATTCAGGGGGTTTGGTTTTTTTATTAGCTTTGTTCTATTTTTTTCCTCAGTTAAATTGTGCTAGAATGCAAAGGGCATTAAAAAGCTGTCTGTGTTCAGAGATTTGGCTAGATTGTGCGAGTAGACTAGAAATGCAGTAACTTTCAACTGCAAGTAGAAATAGTGCTGGACAACTGCAACTTTGAACGCCAGCCTAGCCCTCAGTACTGCAGGCATTATCTAGCTATGGCTGATTCATCACTGAATGAATGAAAGCTCACTCTAGAGCCCTCAGCATTTTTTTGTTTATCTGCACTCATAGTAAAAATAAACTATGAAATTTGGTGTAACTTGTTTCTGGAGACATTACAGTGAATTGATGCACAAGCCATTCAAATATGGCTGAGAGCATAAACTAAATATGTCTATAAATGTAAGTACCACTTGATGTAAGTGGCAGTCTCTTCTCAGAGAGGCCAGGGATATGCCAGGCCAGAACTGAAGTCTGAGGGGTGAGTTGAGTGGAGAAATGTAACATTCTCCTATATCCAGCGCTGGGTAGGAACAGTTACAGTCTTCAGCTCTGCAGTGCACTGACCTTATGTTTTTAAAGGAAAAGTCAGACAAAAGCACTTTGAAAATATCTATTTTTTTATTTGAAATCTTCTTCTGGTACACAGGTCTGTAAACCTGAAGTCTAAACTAAGTTAAATACACAGAAGATATGTCTCTGAGAGTCATATCTCTCCACGCTTTAGAAACTGCATGTTTCCTACCAGCCTAATAACCTGGTACTGTCAGTAACTGTCTGAAACATTAGATCTTATAAAAGTTCCATTTTGACAACTTAGTTTATATACTTTGTTGATTGTGATACCATTTAATGGATGCCTTATTTTCTATAGTCTATTCACTCTGGGAGCAGAATAGAAAAACAAAGGGAAGCATATTTTAGATAATGTGCATTTGTGAGCAAAATTCCTGTAGCTGTGTGTGAGAATGTATAATGCTGTGCGCAAAGGTGGAGGACACTAAACATGTTCTGTGTGAATGTTTACATGTTGTAAATGTGCTACAATAAACACTTCCAGCTGCAGTTAAGTATTGGGTGTGTCAGTATTCATCTTAAGAGTAAATACATTGCCAGGTTAATAGAGGAGGGTTTTTTTTTTTTTAATAGCAATATGCAATTTCTGGCATGAAACAGCGCATGGAGTGTGTGAACTTGCATTTCTTGTAGTCAAGGTAGCTCCTGTGGATGCTGGTGAGGACCTGTTCCCAGCTGATCTTGTTCAACAGCATTTCAGAGTTTGCCATAGAAACAAATAAACAAGTATTAAACCTTACACTAAAAATGCTCCTGTACATTACATGAAGTTCAAATTCAGCAACGGCAAACCAAATGCAAGGTGTAGGCAGAACAGATTATTCGCAGTATCTGAAAGTTTCCTGTATTGAGGTCCTTGTCTTCCAACAGTCACCTAAGATTGAAAACTTCTGAAGCTTTTCAAGGAGATTCAAGGCAATCTTGCATCGAAAAGCAAATATTTAGTGACCATGTTTTCTGTTGACACATTAAATTCCTTATGGATCTTTGACAACACACAATATATAATGTGCACAACACTATTGTATAAAAGAGTTTGTGCAAAGAATTCTGACAAGGATGGCAAGCACTTTAAGGTCATTGAAATGCAGAAGGCTGACTTCTTAGCAAGGCTTTTTCATACAAAGTTAAGGGAAAGCTAATAATTTGCTCAAAATGCAGATGCATTTTGTAAACAGCTATGAAATATTTGTTTGCTAATACAGTTATAAGGCAAGTAGTAGTCTGATATCATTTAGAAATGGAGCAGAACATATGGTTCATCACTTGTTAACTTCTGAAATTGGAAACAAATTTCAACAAAATTTGGCAGAGCTCTAAAATGTCAAATTCTTACAAAGTTTTATAGAAGCAGGGAAAAATCATATTAATAGAAGCCTGCAGTATGAGCATAAAGCATGGAAAGCTACTGGTGGCCCCAAAGCAGGAAAAGATATCATATATAGATTCTTTCAATTACTAATAGGAGGAATCTTCCACTGAATACTGGTTTCTGTTGCCTGAAGGGCAAATTTCACTGTGAAGCTTGTTCTGCAGTGAAATCCCTGTTAGAGTCTTTAAGTAATGACCTGTGCTTGGGCTACAGCTAAAAAGTTGATGAACTGTAATGCAGAAATTCAGTGGAAAACCATGCTCTGTAACCTCTGCTGGACTACACAGCTTTTAATTTAGCATTGCTGGCAGTTGTGCGGGTTTGGAGAGCAAAGAGTTGATGAAAGACAACTTACCTTAAACAGTAATGGGCAGGGTCACAGGGGAGGGCTGTCTAAAAGTAGGAGAAGGATGTGTAAAGCAAAGGATAGGATGAGCTGGGAGGAAAAGAAGGGACAGCTGCTTATAAAGTTGGCAGGGCAGCAATTGCGTATTTCTGGCCATGGGTGCAGGCTGTTAC